CCTTAATTTGTTGGGCCTCAATCCCACTTGTGGATGAAGGCCTATGGGCCTAGGGTTATGATGGATGGTACTTAGGCCTTAGAATTTATTTGATTGGGTTTAGGCGTGGGCACTTTTGGGTCTTCTTGAAATTGGGCCTTGGGAGGAAGAGGCCCAATAAGGCAAGGACTAGAGAATCCTTTGCCTTAAGACATGAATTAGGGTTTGAAGCTCGAAGTCATAATATGATAGCTAATTAGAAATTATGTTGTGTGATAGGGGGAAGATTTCACGGGTCGTTCGTTGAGTACGTTGTTACACCCACAGTTTGAGGTGAGTCTCCTTTCGTAGAATTCGTGGGTCGAAGGCACCAAGGCCAGCCCACTAGTTATGATATGACATGATGATTGTCTTTGTGATAATTATCGGGTGTGCATGTATTATTTGCTTATTCTGTGAATTACGTGTGATATTATATAGTAGTGGTAGGGGTGAAATAGACCCGGTATCTGATTGCAATAGATCGAAGGGGCAGGTTGAGTACCCAGATATGCTCGACATTATGCGGTTGAGATAGACCGAAGGGGCATGTCGAGCACCCATATATGCTCGACATTATCCGATTGAAATAGACCGAAGGGGTAGGTCGAGCACCCATATATGTTCGACAGTATGTTTATTTTTGTATGTGGTATGGTAGGGGAACTCACTAAGCTTTGTGCTTACAGTTTCAATTTGTGTTTCAGGTACTTCTAGCTCGAAGGGAAAAGGGACGACATGATCGCATCGCATCACACTATTGTTTTCCGCAGTAGAGATTTTGGGACTTATGCTCTGATAATACTTTTCTATGTTTTGTTTTGATAAAATACTATGATCACCGTATGTTCACATTGCTTTTGAAATTAATGATGTTTTGGGATATGGATTTAGTAACTTTGAAAACGAAATTTTTGGGTCGTATTTTGTGGATGTTACAGGAATGCAGACCCAACCCGATTTAGTTAGGGGGTTGATAGCTAGGGCTTCAATGTTACAATGACTATGTTGTAATATCGTTTTCAATTTTGTGAATAAAAATAATCTCTCATGTTTGTGGACGCTGGTCATATTGACCGAACCATGTAAATATTATGTCTTTATGTGTGTGTATGTGTGTTTATTCTCATTTTTCCTAACACAAGGTATATATAATTTCATCCTAAAACTGTGCCTTTCTTTTTCGTGGGTTATCCTCTTGGAAAGAAAACCTACAAGTTATATAACCTTCATACATCTAAATTGTAACTTTTTAAGAATTTCATGTTCCTTAAACACCCCCTCATCTCAATCACTCTAATGACACCACAATTTTACCTTATTCATAACAAACTGACAGTTTTCTGGTTATCCTCACCGCCTTCTGTTCCATCAGCTACCCACTCCACTATCGGCCACATGAACTCTCATTGTTTTTTTCTCTAACTTCAAGTCTTTCACCATCTTCTGATCCACACATTAGCTCCCATACAACCTTCTTTCATTGTGCAAAGATCTTGTCAACCTCATTTTCCTCTCAGTTATCTTGTTGGTTATGTTTTTCATGATGCCACTGCCAATCTTCTAGCTCTTTGTGTCCATATACTATCATGGTAACTTTTTGTGTGCATTCTCACCAATTTTTATGTATTATCTCCTCTCTAAATAAGCAAATTTTGGACAACCTCAAACACAAGAAGGAGCCTAGTTGCTATGGGAAATTAAGACACCCCTCAACCTTTTTGGCAAGCTACATTGATGAAAGAAATCGAAGCTTTAGAAAGTAACACGTCATGGGTTGTTACCGACTTGGCCAAAAGGATTAAGGAAGAAACCCAACAATTGTTATCGATAAGCATAAGACCAGGGACACATCTTTTATAGGGCCAGGAGGGGTCTTGCCCCCCCTGGATTTTGGGTTAGAAGTAGTCCAAATACATTCAATTTTTCGAGATATAGGCCCAGGTATGTGAAAATTGGGCTGTGGCCCCTCTTGCCCAATCGGAAAGACGTGAACGACAATGTTGAATCGAACCCTAATCCAGTAATCCTCATCTTCCGTACTTCATTGCTCGCTGCTAGTTGGACGCCTCACACCTCAGTGCCTCACGCCACAATCACCACCGTCCACTGTCAGCACCGCCACCGCAAGTCACCCTCCGGCCTCCACCAGCAGACGTAGCAGTTCAGCACGACAGACAACAGTAAACCTTCAGTCTTCTCTTCTGTTGTTCTTTCTTTTGCACGGAAGAAAAATAAGAAAATCAAGTATTGTTCTCACTTTCTTGCCCCCGTTTTTATCTTCTTTCTTTTTTAAATTGTAATTCTGTATTTCTAACCACCCTCTTCTCTTCATTTGCTTAATTGCTTGTTGTGGGAATTTCACACAGTGGCTCCAATTGCTTGTTGTTTGAATTCTAATTCTGAGATTGTTGATTAATATGAATTGTTCCTCCATTTTCTTGTTGTTGGAATTTGGGAATCAAGTAATTAGGATTTCACACAATGTTATATGTTTTCTTTTACAGAAATTTAAGTTAGTTGGCTGATTTTGAATGAATTGTTCATACATTTTGATTTTTTTTATAGATACAATCATGGACAAGATGAAAACCATTCATTTTTTTTTTCAAAAGAATGGGTGACGATGAAGAAACACTTAATGAAAATCATGAGAGTAAACGTCAAAAAGCTTCAATAAGTGAGCCACAACCGCAACAACATGGAAATCAACAAGAGAATGACATTTCTGAAGCCACACGATCAAATCCTAATGAGGTGGATCTTAAGCAACTAGAAAAGAGATAAACCAAGTGTGTGTCATGGTTATGATGCATTTACTGTTAAATGATTTGACAATTGGAAAAAAGTTAATGACGGGAAAAATTGTGCATTCTTGAAGCACATTGGTTGTTCACAACATAGAAATGTAGTTGCATTCGCTGAAACAACAAAGAGGGGATTTTCTGTAATGAAAATATTCAAGAACCGCCTTCGCAATAAGATGTTGGATGACTTTCTCGCAAACAATTTGATGGTTTGTTTACATAGAAAGGGATATTGCTGAAAACATTGATTCGAAGTCGGTAATTGATGATTTTAAAGACCTTAAAGGTTGTCGGGCTGAGTTGTAATTATTTTTTTTTATGTATTTTTGGTGTTTAATTGCTAAAAAATTTGATTTTTTTTATGTGTAAGAACGGTAACTATAGGTATTTTGGTGTTTAAATGCTGAAAAAATTGATTTTTTTACGTGTAATAACGTTAATTTTAGATTTTTTTACTTTCGGCCTCCAAAAAATATGTTCAAGCTCTATCACTGCATAAGACACCTTTAACTTTTTCAATATACCAAATGATGTAATTTTTTCCTTGTAGGTGAAAGTCGCACCATAAAAATAACCATGATTAAACACATGTAATCAACCAAAACATAATTTAAGAACTCTAAATACATGGAATTGAGACAATTAACACAACCCTAAACCTTGGTTCAATGCCATTTCATTATGTAAATTGTTTTCTAGAAATTGAGTGTAAGAAAAATCGGGAGAATTTCATGAAAAGGTGTCACCAAACAACAAATGGTATTATAAAATCGTTATAAATATTGAAAGTTAGAACTGTTGAAAAGATTACCAAACGGTGGCAGATAACTCGCAACCATTTCGGTCAATTTTTTGAATTTCATTATATTATTCTTATAAATTTATGGGCTAATGTTATAAAAATCCTCAATTTTTTAGAGTTTTGTCGGTTTTGCCTAAAGTTGAATTTTATGTTCGCTTTTACCCTAACATTTTCAAAAAAAAAATTCGGTTTTACCCTTTTTTTACCGGTGATAACAGGTTTTCCAGGTTACCATTATACTAAATTCGCAAAATAAACCCTTAAGTTTACCCTTTTTTTTTTTTTTTTTCCGTTTTTACCCTTAAGTTTATAATTTTTTTTACACTTTTACCCTAAGTATATTTTTTTTCATAATATACGTATTCATGCAGAAAAATCGTATTTATATACGAACTTTTTTTAATTAAATATTGTATTTATATTTTTTTAATGTTATATATATATATATATATATATATATATATATATATATATTTGTTTGTGTGTGTGTGTGTTTTTGCAAGATTATACCATTTAAAAAGATAAATAATATTTTTAGAATTATGAATACGTGTTTTATAGATATAGTTTTTAGATGTATAAATACATATTTTTATATTTTTATATATTAATATGTATCTATACTTCTAAAAATATATTTATACTAAAAAAACACATATATCAAAATACATAATTACACTTCTAAAAATATATGTATATACTTATATAAACATGTTATGATTGAACAAGTTTTTTTATTGATATGTATATTTTAAATACATAAAAATACGTATTTGTAGTTGTAAAAAGATATTAATTTGTTTATTTACATCTTAAATGGTTTATCCAGGAAAAAAAACTCATATATATATATATATATATATATATATATAGATATATATATATATATATATCTATATAACTAAAAAAATGTAAATACAATATTTAATTAATTTTTTTTTGTATATAAATATGATTTTTCTGCATTAATACGTATAATATGAAAAAAAATACATACGGTAAAAATGTAAAAAAATTATAAACTTAAGGATAAAAACGTAAAAAAACTGTAAACTTAAAGGTTTTTTTTGCGAAGTTAATATAATGGTAACCTGTTATCACCGGTAAAAGGGTAAAACCGAACATTTTTTGGAAAATGTTAGGGTAAAAACGGACATAAAATTCAACTTTGAGCAAAACCGACAAAACCCTGAAAACTTAAGGGTTTTTATGACATTAGCACTTAATTTATTTCTTAAATTGTGCTGAAATCATCTCCGGTAAATAAATGAGAAGATATAAATATATAACTAAAAATGTATAAAATATATTATTTTCCAATAATGTAAAAACGTTTTTAATGTGGCAGTGACTGGGTGGAAACGCATGGTCCATTAATGGCATTGCATGAGAACGATGTCGTTATGGCGCCAGCTAGCACCCCCCTCGCCCTCTCAATCCATCGTTCAAATCGGACAATCGCTCCATATTCTCTCTTTGCAACTAGGCCTCACTGTCACTGACCGCTCCTTACTCTCTCTCATCGACGATAAAGCAGAATTCGGTACCTCTTTCTTTCTCTCTCTCTCACACACACACGCACGCACTTACTTTCCATCTCTCTCTACATTCAAATGGGTGAAAGGTTTCTGAAGCTTTTGTTTTTGTTTAATTTGTGTTTCGTCTTATTGTGCAAGTAGATTAGGTTTTCGTTACTCAATTTTATTCTCTAGTACGTCTTCGTTCCCCAAAGTAGCATAGAGTTATATATTGATGGTTCGACATAGTTCTTTGTGAAACACAAATTAATATATTATTTGACTTTCCAGATGTGGATTTTGTTATAAAATCAACTCATCGGCTGCTATTATTAATTGCTTTTGGTCGATCTATTGAACTTTTTCCAAATATCAGGTTTAATTAGACCAATTTTGTTTAATCTCTTAGTATTGGTAAGAACTAAGAATGCTTCAGTTCCATGATTGACTTGAAGTTGACGAAGAATTTTGCTTAAAATCCAGAGTCAGCGAGTATTCTTATAATCAAATGTGTAACTGTTAACCCGAGTAAGGTTCACCTCAGATCTTCACCTTTTCTTTTTATGGGATAGATAGATTTTTCTTTTTCTTTCTTTTTTTATTTGGGGAAGGGGCTCTTGTCAAACCTAATTTTGACTTGAAAAGTCAACCGTTTAAAGTCTAAAGTTACCAATGATGGAATACTTTTGAGTTTTGGCTTTAGTACACAATCTAAAAGTAATTTAATCTTTATCAACAAACACTTTTTGTTAAATTCAAAATTATAAGTAGCAAATTAACAATTAGCGTTGTTCATTTTTAAATTTTCCAACCACAGGAGCCATGCCTGAGGGTATAACATCTGAAAATCTCATGAACAACATCATGGATACACTCTCTGATAAGCTCCAGAAGCAGAATTCTGGCTCATTCTTCGTTGAAGAAAAGTCACACTCACACACAGTCTCTTCTCAGTTCAATAAGCTCTTTGGGAGACAGAAGCCCATTCATCACATTTTAGGGGGTGGCAAATGTAAGCTTCATCTCTTCATTCTTTATTAACCTTACACTAATGGTATCTGTTTTTTTTTTTTTTTTTAAAATGACATTATCTTCTTTTGTAGCTGCTGATGTGCTCTTATGGAGGAACAAAAAGATATCAGCAGGTGTCTTATGTGGTGCAACTGCAGTGTGGGTGCTCTTTGAATGGCTTGACTACAATTTCCTTCCTCTTGTCTGTTTCGGTCTGGTTATCTGTATCATTGGTCAGTTTATCTGGTCAAACCTATTGAACAGGGCCCCACCCCGTGTTACTCTGCCAGATGAGCTATTTGTGAACATTGCTAGAATAGTAGGTGATGAAGTGAATCGTGCTCTGGGTTACCTTCAGTATGTTGGTTCTAGAGGGGATATCAAACAACTTACATTGGTATGTCTACCACAGTAGCATTATTTAAAAAAATATTGACAATTTCTGATTTTTTTTTCTTCCAAATTGTGTTTAGGTTGTTGGGGGCTTGTTAACTGCAGCAATAATTGGAACCTGGTGTAACTTTTGGACTGTTATTTACATAGGTAAGATCTTCCTTTTGTCTTTTTAGCTTCCTTATGAGATGTATTGTTCATTTATTTATTCATTTATTTAGGTTTTGTGGCTGCTCACACTTTGCCTGTTGTGTATGAGAAGTATGATGACCAAATTGATAGTGCTGTGTACAATCTGTTTGGAAAGGTTCAGAACCACTATAGTAAGCTTGATACTAGTTTGCTAAGCAGAATTCCCAAGGCAAAAGCGAAGAAGTTTGCATAATTGTATTTGAACATGTTGCAAATGTTATGTAAGTGTAACTCTTGCCATTTAGACTGCTTATGGTGTGTACTTATCAGTAGTTTTGCTAATAAATCAGTGTCATTGTGATGCTTAGACTGTAGATATTGCTTAGAGGCTGTTTCCCATTAAGTCTTGTATAGCTGTTTGAATTAAGTGCTTAACCCATAAAGGGATAACAATATGATAACTAGAATATGCACCATTTCATCATTCCTCATATTAAATACATATTTTTAAAAATAAATGTCAAAAATAGAAGGTTTCCTGGTAGATTACAGTTGTTGAATATGAAAGGGAAGTGAATGTTGATGGGGTTGACTTTTATGTAGTCAGTGGTAAGATTGAACTGAGACCTTAGCTTGTGGGCCACCTTGAACATACACAAAACTGCACTCAGAACCAGGTTTGATCACCTTACTCCATTGAGGAAGCTCGTATACGTTCTTATTCAGGGTTGGAGTCAATCCCCAAAGAGACCCTGATAAGTTTTCAATTACCAACTTCAAATCTGTGATTGGTTTTTCTGATGTGTTCTTGATTATCACCTTGTGCCTGTAGTATCCAATTCCCCCAACTGTCCATGAGCTCGTGATCGAGTGCAAAAATTCAAGTGGCTCACCATATGGTTTCGTAGGTGCTTTAGCATGGGAGTCTACAACAAAAATATGAATTTTAGAATTTAAATTTTTTTTGTTCGTAGAAAGACAAAAAGGTTAGTTTTGGAATTTCACTCACATGAACCGGGGTGTCCCTTGGTTGGGGAAGGTGATGTGGTGGGTTTTGGACTGAGGCTGAGGCTATGTAACTTAGAGAAGAGTCCTACAAGAGGGGCAGTCCCGGAAAGTGTAGGCTCGGTTTGTTCGTAATTTGACCGATCATCATCGAAATTGTCGTTATGGTCCGGACCACCGACTAGCCCACCGTGGATCACGTTTGGGTTAGCCGCTGGGCGGTGGTACCATGCATCGAACCCTTGTACGCACCCAACCACTGAGTGGACTACAGATATAGAGGCGATTGAAGCACCCCTGTGGTGGACATGAATCGGGTAGTTTTGTCCGTATCCAACAATGTAACTCATGGATTTTGGATTTTTCCCGAGGATATAATCAGCCTGTGTGAAGACAGCCTTTTCGTTAATTAAATGAATCAAGTGTTTAATTTTTTTTTTTTTTTTTTTTATAAATAAGCGGATTGAATTTACTAAATTAGACATGCCTGAGATTGTGCGAAAGTGAGGAGTTCGTGAGGTTGGACATTGGCATCGGGACATGTGAGAACCGACTTAGCTGCCGTGAGATAGTCGGAGTAGACCGCGAGAAGAAATGCAGCCGAGGCGGCATATTGCATGTTGTTCCATTCGTGCAAGTAGAGCAAGCCACCTAAATTGAAAGAAATATATAAGTACACCAACAGAATAAAACAAAACAGGCTGACTTGCATTGGGCTGTGACCGAGGTGGAAGATAAGTTTTAGTGACGAACCAGGAGTCATGGGTGCGTTGTAGCCGTCATTCTTTTGTTGGCAAGCACACGCAAAGTAGTCGGCTTTTGCCTTATATTGTTTCAACGTGGCGGTATACGCACCACCGTGTCCATCCAACAACACCTTGGACAGGAGAATCTGGACACCGGCGTATTTATTATCCCATGAAAATTCCTTAGTCGCCCAGCCAGTGCCGCCCATGGAGGCGGCATTGTCCACCACGTATTTCAAGTATGACTCATCATTGGTTGCCCGGTACAACCACGTAGCCGCCCACAACAGCTCATCTTCAAACCCAGATGATGTGTAAAACTCCTTGGCACATGGGATTGAATCCGTGAACAGTCCCCGAAACCGATCCGCAAACCAAAAAAGCTGTGAAAAAAAACATAAAGTTTAATATCGACTCATCTAATTAAGAACTTGAAAGTGATCGGAGTGCATGATTCCATTCCAACCTGTTTAGCGTGAACCAAGAGTAAATCAGAGTATGATGAATTGTAAGGCCTAAACGCCATAGAGGCGGCAGCCATGGCGGCTGCGGTTTCTCCGGCGAGATCGGATCCCGGATGTTCAGTGTCTAATTTATACGCGGTTCTTGGTGTAGTCATATCCTCTGCCCTCTCCCAACAGTAGTGATCCGAGTCTCCATCACCTACCTGTAACCACAAGTTTCCACTCTTTAGGTGACCAAATTTTATATTTCTTAAATATACATATAGTTGTGGTGGGAGGGAAAATATCAAATAAACATTCAAGTTATTTGCGATGGTTAAAACCGTTAATTCATACCTGTCCCCAAAGAACATTAGGTTGTGAATGAGCTTTGATGAAGTAATCAGTACCCCATTTAATGGCATCCAAAACATGCCCCATTTGATTAAGATCCATCATATTTCTATGATACTCTATTGCGCCCCATGACAGCATTGTCACTGTATACGCCATTGGTAGTCCAAACTTCACATGGTCACCAGCATCATAGTATCCTCCCACCAAGTTCACCTACATTCCATTCCCGACACCCACATCATAATTAGGTCTATGTAGGTGTACAACCCAAAATAGGATAAAGTACAAGCTTACGAAGCAAGAATGATAGACTCACCTTTTGTTGGTAACCATCAGTGAGACCGGAATCGCCTCGCCAATTCACTCGTTGAGTCCGTGGTAACTTTCCGGACCTTTGTGCCTCGAAAAACAACAAGCTTTTGTCAAGAGCTTGACCGTAGTCGAAAGCTGATGATGCATTCATGATGGTCAAAATTAAGAATGTGGCAAAAACATGTCTTGAGTTGACCATGGTGATCGATTGTGGTATGGATCAGTTGAAGAAGGAAGCCGATGAAGAAGAAATGATGTGTTTGTGTGTATATATAGAGACAAACTATGTATAGATATATCGAGAGAGAGAAAGAGAGTGAGATAGAAGATATGGAAGAAATGTAAGAAAAGGTGGTCGGGTTCACGTTGATCATAAAGAATCGAGGTTAAGGTTAGAGCTCCCCACGTTGTATTTAGTACTTCATCCTTATGATTGCTCGGAGGGTAGGATATAATTAATAATCTTTGTTTGGTTTGACTTAAATTTTAGCCAAAATTACATAATTGGTCCCTGTTATATCTATCAATTTATGGATAAAGTCCCCCAATATATGTATTTTTTACTCGGATCTTCCATGTGTGTTCTTTTTTACCAATGGTACCCGCCCCAGGTTAGATGCCAGTCCGATGTTAATTTTGCATGAAATTACCATTTTACCCTTTTGTTAAATTTATTTTTAGATTATTTTAATTATCAGTGGGGGCAACACTCCCATAAACCTTCCACACTTGTCTTACCTTTCTTCTATCCCGTTTCCTCTTGGCAGTGATGATCCCACCTACCTCACCATTAGAAAACACCTCATCCCAACCCTTCCGTCCGGTTGAACCCAAACTCTAGGGAAACCTTGTAGACCATCAAACCCAACCATCTCCATCTCAATTGTTTTGCAAAGCCACATGTTTTGTTGAGATCTTTGTTTATATCGAATCATTTCCAACTTCCAATTATGTTGAGTGGGCCAAATTTACTTGATATATGGAAAAAACCCTAAGAAGTTAATGAAAATAAAAAAATCTCTCAGTGTCGAATTTTTAACGATATCCATGTAGATGGACAATGGATGCAATAAAAAACCATGAAGTTGTGGTGAATCCTTGATACCTCAGGTCAAGCCAATGGTAGAGATCGAAGATCACCATGGAACGTAATTAATCTTGAAAGTGTTGTTTTGTGACACATCTTCGTTTATTTGTTGTCTTTTTTGTGGTCAGTCAACGACATAATAAATCATGGTTTGAGTTAAAAAAAAAATAGTTTGGGAGACGAGATCTCATAAAAGCACAAACTAAATTCAAATAAGAACCGCAAAAAGATTATTATGAGCTGTGAGGACTGATAATTCATAGTTGGATGTTTTTATGTTTTTTCTTTATTTTCAATGCTTGTTTGTTATCTTAAAACACATTGAACTTAATAAAACTTTATAATTAGAAAAAAAAAACAAATTATATTACAACATATATAGTCAAATGAGAAATAATGATCTTAAATTGTGAATGTTGTGCTGGGTGCAAACCCAATCCCACATTAGTAAAATAAGAAACTTGATGCTAGCATATAAGGCAATGAGTGATATCTTTTATCACCAATTGGTTTTAGAAAATGAAACCTCATTATTTTTCTATGTTGAGCATGGTTGGGCTAGTAGCGATCATCGGAAGAAACAATCGTTGAGGGGAGGCCAAGAGCGGAACTTGGGTTTGAGGGGAAGATTGTTAGGGTGAAAACAAGGATCCTAACATGTTGTAATTAGTATTTATTTTATTTTGAAATATCTCGATATTTATATTTAGAGTAAATTACACGAATGGTCCCTATGGTTTGAGGTAATTTGCATGTTTGGTCCCTATCTTATTTTTTTAACTCAGAAAGTCCTTACTGCTTGTTTTTATTACGCACTTGGTCCCTACTGTTTGTTTTTGTTACATGTTTGGTCACTGTCTTACCTAAAAAACTATTATTTAAATAGGGAAAAATTGTGGGTAAGTAAGGTAAGTTGACGGGGTGGGGTTGGGGTGTGTGTTTATTTAAATAAATTAAAAAATCAAGGGCAAACTAATTTTTTTTAGGTAAGACAGAGACCAAACGCGTAACAAAAACAAACAGTAGAGACTTTCCGAATTAAAAAAATAAGTTAGGGACCAAACGCACAAATTACCTTAAACTATAGGGACCATTCATGTAATTTACTCTAATATTTAATTGTAATAACAACAAATTATTAATTTTCATATGGTTGGTTATTTTTGTGGGCATTGTTGATTTGGAGATTTACACCGTTTCATACACTTATTTCATTTCATATAATTCCATATAAAGTCAAATATAAATGATTTTGAATGTGAAAAGGTTATATTCTATTAGAAGGAAAATACGGACAAAAGTTATTGATTATTGATAGGTAGGTGATGATGCATGAAAAGTATGATGCAAAACCAATTGATTCTAGACATTCCAACTCATCATCAAGCATTTGAAAAGGGTGCACGTGTCATTTATTTATATAAATCAAATAGATAAAATGGAAAAAAAATATTAGTTTAATGGAAACAAAACAAGCGAAACGAAACAAAATGAATCACACGAGAATACATCAACCACCACATGT